CAGATACAAATCTACTGCTGCTCGTGGAGTTGATGGGCTGTCACATGTTGACCTTTTGGCGCTTCCTTCACCATGGACTTTGCGGCTTTTGTCATTTCTCCACGCCATCGAGCAAGGGGAGATGGAATGGCCTGTTGCAGTGCTCTATGGAGTGGTGAGTGTTCTTGCCAAAGACCCTGGGGCTCAAACAGTCAGCCGCTTTAGGCCAATAGTCATTTTCAGCATCATCTACCGTACTTGGGCCAGTTTGAGATCGAAGCAGCTCTTGCGTTTGCTGGCACCTCACATGGATGTTGAAGCATACGGTTTCATGCCTGGCTGCGAACCATCACAGCTATGGTTGGTGTTGCAGGCCGAGATCGAGTGCGCTTTGCAGTCTGGAGAAGCCAAATCAGGCTTGAGCACGGATTTGACTCGTGCTTTCAATTTTATACCGCGCCAGCATACGTTTGCTCTTGCACTGCATCTAGGAGTTCCACTTCAAATCGTGCATCCCTGGCGCAGCTTCCTGGCCAGCTGCACTCGTGCGTTTGAAGTGCGTGGCACTTTGAGCCTCAGCACAACCTCCACTTGCGGATTGCCTGAGGGCGACGCCCTCAGCGTGTTTGGGATGACACAGCTGTGCTTTGCTTGGCACCTTTACATGAGGGCTTACTGTCCAGCAATTCGTTCATTGAGTTTCGTGGACAACCTGGGCTTGGTGGCGGCCATTCCCAGTTTGCTTGCGCAAGGCCTCATTTGCCTTCGGGAGTTTTTCCGGTTGTGGAATCTTCAATTGGATTCAGCCAAGTCGTACTGCTGGGCGCTACATGATGCTGACAGGCGTCAACTGGCTGTGATACCTTTCCAGCGTGTTGAGCACGCGCATGAATTGGGTGGGGTGTTATCCTTCACCTGCCGAAGATTCACTGGTTTGCAACAGAAACGGATCAGCTCTCTCTCAGTCAAGTGGAAGCGACTTATGAGTAGTCGAGCACCACTTCGACAGAAGTTGCAAGTGCTGCCTAGCGTTTTTTGGTCTTCAGCTTTGTATGGTATCAATGGCTCCTGCCTTGGGGAGCATCACATCGATGATCTTCGGAAACAAGCAGTACGTGCTCTGCGTCTGAACGGTGCCGGCTCCAACAGCCTTTTGCGGCTTTCGCTCTGCGGCACTCCTTGCGCTGATCCTGGCTATTGGAGACTGCGTATGACTGTCAGAGCTCTCCAGCGTTTGTTGCGCAAGGAGCCACGTCTTTTTGGTTTATGGAAAGTTTTTATGCAGGGTTATGAGGGTTGCCTTTTCAGTGGACCTTTTTCCCAACTTCTTACTGTTTTGAACCAAATTGACTGGCGGATTGAACCCCCTTTTTTGTGGGATCATGATGGTTGTTGTTTTAACCTTTGTAATGGGGATACTAATTTGTTGGATGAATTGTTGTATGATGCGTGGCTTCAACAAGTGGCACGGAAAGTGACCTCTTGTGCCACTATGCGCGACCTGAGTGGACTGGATCCTTTGCTGCTTGCGCATGACTCTGGGCGCATGGACAGCTTGCAAGCTTCTTTGGTGAGTGCGCTTCGATCAGGGGCCTTCATTGATCGAGCTGCACATGCGCGATATGATTTGAGCAAGTCGGCGGATTGCACCTGGTGTGGGGTGCCAGATACCAACCTACATTGGTTTGAGTGCCCTCGTTTTGCTGCTGTTCGAGCGTCGCTTGAGCGATGGCAAGAACACCATGCAAGTGACTCTATACCCTGCGAGCTCACCTACTTCCTTCTCGGTCTCCATTTGCTGGACCCTGGAAGCATGCTTTGATGGCGGTCCCGGACACCACCAGACTTTTCCTATCTGAACCATCTACTGGGATTCAACATGTCTTCACGGATGGCTCTGCTACCAGTGGGCAGCGACCTTTTCGTATCGCTGCATGGGGTGCTTTGAACGCAACCACTGGAAATCTCTTGGCGATGGGACACGTCACAGGGCTGAGTCAGACCAGCGATCGAGCTGAGCTGATGGCTGTGGTGGGAGCACTTGAATGGCAAACCTTATTTGAGGTGACGATGCACCTTTGGACAGACTCGAAGTTTGTAGCAGATGGACTTCTTTTCATCCTCCAGCATGGGGCTGCTGGGGCCTGGTCACATGGTGACCTTTGGGAGAGAATCGAACATTTGCTGCATGAGAACGGACAGAACGAGTTGGTGCCACACTGGGTGCCTAGTCACTTAGATGAGATGAAGCTCACCTGTGCCTTCGAGGACTGGGTGAAGTTGTGGAATGATCGCATAGACACGGCTGTAGGTAGACACAATCTGCTCAGATCTGATGGCTTTTTTCAGTTGAGAAATGATGCCCTGCGTCACTTTGACCTGGGAGCAGAGAGAATGGGGCAGCTTCGTTCCTTTTACTCTGCTGTTGCGGCTCAACCAGCGGAAGCCAATTCTGAGGCGCCTGAGAGGCTTGATGTTTCACTTTTTGGTTTTGTCCCAGAACCACAGATTTCGGTAGGTGATTTGTACATTCCTTCTACTGAAGACTTGGTTGGAACCACCACTCGGCCTCGTGACATGCCAGTGGAATTTGTGGAGTCTTTGATTAAATTTTTGGTTGATCGTGTTGTGATTGATTCTGGTGTTTACCCGCTTTGTTTTGAGGAGCTCACTCTTTGGTTGATCAAAGATTTCCAGTTTCAGTTTCCATTTGTAGGTTCGGCCTCCGGGGAGATGGAAATGCATCCCCTCTCTTCCCGATTTGAGAGACCAACCTTCGGTTATTTGTACCGCCATGTACGCAGGGCTGTGCAATGGTTTTTTGGTCATGGTGATTTGGGGGACGTTTGCTTTTCTGCTTGGAACAAGGTTGATTTGCGCATTCACAGGCCCACAGATGGCATTTTTATCCGGCTCTCTGGACACGACGTACAGAGGTGTCAGAGATTGCTTGGTGAATTCACTTCGAATAGGCCAATTCGGAAGTCCAATGACTTGGCCAGGCCGGCGTGATTGGACAATTGTGGCCAATACGGCACTGCTCACGCCGTGCCTCTTGGACCCTGAAATCGTCCGCGCTATCACTTCCACGAGCTTCCACGTTGGTAGGTTTGGATGATTTGCTTCCGCGACTTAGGTGTGGAGGATGTTTTTCTATGGTTTACTCTGTTTTTATAGCTTCCACGACACTTCCGCGAAACTTTCCTACACCCTTCCGCGCGTGCAGCCACACGCTCACACTCACCCTGTCATGACTCGACGATTTTTAAAAAAACGGCTCTCCGTTGAGCCCAGGACTGAAATCGCTTTCCTTCTACTCCGGTTCTCCCCCCGTCCTGCTGTTGCACGTGCAAAACCCAAGCATCCCCAGCTGGCTGGTCTGTAGTTGTAAATCCGCACATAGAGTACATAGACATAGGTTTATGAGTTTATGATTGTATGTATTTACGTACATGTATACATATTATGTGTATATATATATATATGTTGATATGTGTGTGTGTGTGCGTGCGTGTTACATAAATGTGCGTGTTGAACCACCAACTACCCTTCTTTGTATCTCTTTATCCTATCCTATTTGTGCATGTCTTTACTGAAGAAACCGGCCAAGTTGGGGACAGCTACCCAGCACCCCAAGAGTCCTGCTGGCCCCAAAAAGCCCACAGGTCTTTCTATCACCCACTGTAGCAGCTGTAGCAGCAGCCCAATCAAACCTGGCTGAGGATCTGGTATGGCTACAAACTCTGCCAAAGCAGCCCAAAATCATCATGTCAATCCATTCAAAAGAATGAAATGGAGTGTCGTTATGTAACATAATCATTCATATATATATAATATCCAGTTTATACTATGCTGTCTTGCAATTCCCAGTTGCTGTTGAACACCTGGAGTTTTTGATTCGCAAAAACGAAAAAAGAAACAGGCCAGCTGCGCAAAGCCTCCATCTGGCATGTGCCATGGCCGTCCAAAATTCGCGTCCAAAATTCTCCAAATGTTGCCCAAAGGATGGCTTGAAATGATCTCTGAGACTCTAATAGTCTCTAGTAGGTCTCTAGTAGTCTCTGGGTTAAAAAATGTTAAAGGCTAATGTGCTAATATGTGCTAATGGGATCCAATGGGTTCTTTAGGATTTCGTTGCGCTTCCACCATGTTCCACCCGGCGCTGTGATCACGACTATCTGTGACCTGTGTACTGTCCTGCTGATGTCTGCCGCAATGCTTCTGGATACCTCACGTACCCCAGTTCTAAGCACATTGAGCAACCACGCCAGAGATTGTGTGATAATCAAATCTTTATTTGATCTCAATTTGGCATACCTGGCTCCCCACCCAAAAGTAGCTTGGGTTGTCTCATACAGCTGCATGGGCCAGGCTCAAGTGGAAGTCCACATGGTTGCCATTGGCAGGTCCAACAATTTGGGGCATCTATTTGATGCCCACTTAGGGATACATCATCTATTTGGGATATAATATATGTATATATATAAATATATATATATAATTATATATATATATACATACACGCCCAAAAGTTATGGGATACAAGTAGGATCGGATAATATCATCGATTCGGATTCTTTGGCCGCTATGATTTTGGAGCTATCCCGGCTATCCCCACAGCCACCTCTGCTGCGGCTCCGACTTGAGCTGGACAGTTTCTGGTGACCTTGGTTGTCATGGGGGGATATTTCTCTGCATGGCGTGTACAAACACCACGGTAAAAACGTGGTACCCTCTGATAATTTAACATAGCTATCAAAAATCACCATTTTTAATGGGAAAATCCACTACAAATGGCCATTTTCAATAGCTATGTTAAATTACCAGAGGGTAAACCATGCAAAAACCCGTGTGCCATGTGCAACTGGCCTTTTCAGTCTGGAACACCTGTTCTATCTGTTCTTGATCTGACACGCTCATGATACCATATGATACCATGGGACTTGGCCTTGGGCCAGCTAGGTTGAACCCGGGTTTTAGCTTGGAAGCAACACTCGCCTTTCACTTGGCACCAACTCTGGTCAAATCGGGGACCCCACTGCGCCCTGCACTTCTCCCAAGGATCTTCCTTGGCAGCACATCATGCACGTCCGCGCCAAAGGCTTCACGTCTTCCCAAAATCTCAGGGTCCCCGGCTGCAAGCGAAGAAGGAGGGGCGCCTGGAGCCCGCCAACTACAGTAGGTGATGTGGGTCACGTTTACAAGTCGACTTCAAAAAACAGCAGGTCATCCCCAGGAACATCCATTTTGGTGGCCTCCGCCTCAAAGACGGCAGCTTCAGCAAGATCAGCAGCCTGGCACTGCTTAGTGCCAGTTGCAGTGCTGCCCAGTAGACTCAGTAGAGTAGCATTGGGATCCAAAAGCTATTGTGTCCCTGGTCCCTAGATATATATATATATATATTGATCCACAAAATGCTGGATTGTCATGATCCATGTTGGATATATGGTCTGGAGGGTATGACCCCGTGAGACGTGGTGTTACGACTGATAGAGGGGTTGATTTCATCACTCACCATGGAATCCTGTTGCGAAGTGATATGCTCATCCAAGCATTGCATACAGGATACGGACGGCACCAACCCGTGTAAGTCGACCATCAAATAGTACATTTAGTGGCCATGTGGCACCCCAATGTTGAAATATCATATTGTGTTCATTTAGTCCATTCCTCACAGTTGTACAGAGTGCCAGGCCCCATTTGACTGAACTCATTTCGACTCACATCCACATCCCATCAGTCTCATGCTTCAGCTGCAAACTAAGTGCTCCGGGGTGCTGTGAACCAACATCTGAACCGTTCAATGGTGCAAGGAATCGCCAAACATTTCGGCCGCACCACAGAGATTTGCTTTCTTTCTTCGACCTGGCCACCACAGAGAAAGGTATAGTACAGCTCCAATTTCAAGCTACCTCAAGATACCTCAAGTCAAGGCGTCTGCCAGATTCCTTCTGAGCAATTTCCACCCCATGTTGCCCCCCTTCCCCTCCAACACCCTGCTTTTTTAATCTTTCTTGGCACATTTTGTGGAGGCAAGTTCGACAGATCGCAGCTACCAAAGTAGGGCGTCATGGACATATAGCCCTCGGCATCCAGTTGTGCGGCCCTCCGGCGTAAAACCTCCACATCCTCCAGAGTGAGGCCACTGCGTAGCCAAGGCTCATCAGTCAGGTAGCCCCGTTGCTGCCGCTTCACCACATCCGGCAAGGCCAAGCAGTGCCTGGCCGAAGCCAACTGAAACGAAATGAGGGATTTGCGGACATGACTCCAAAAGGAATGAGAAGAAAAAAGGCACCTCACCGACCTCACCTACCAAGTACTTGGAGTTTCTGATACACGTTCCCCGAACTCTAACAAAGGAACTAGTGAACAATCACTTCCGGAAATCAATCACCCAAAAGCATCAAACATGTGAGTTTCACTATCTGCATATCATCAAAAATTATATGCACATAGGCATACATTCAATAACAATAATGACAAAATAACAGTACGAGGAACAACGGCGACAGTATCGGCAAAGGCAAACAACAACAACAACAACAACAACAACAACAACAACAAGAAGACGAAGAAGAAGAAGAAGAAGAACAAGAAGAACAAGAACAAGAACAGGAACAAGAACAAGAACAACCACGCTAACACTAGCGTTAATGCCAATGCTAACACAACTAAACTACAGATATCAGTAACAAGCACAATAGTAGCCATAATCAATATCAATATCATCATCATAAGAGTATATATAATGTCATCCAATCATCCAAATAAACAACATGTATCAACATGTATCAACATGTAACATGCATCTTTCTTCCCAACTTGGCCCACTTCCCCCAACTTCTCCCAACTTCTCCCAACTTCCCGGCCACTTCTCCCAAGCCTGGTGAAATTGACCTCCGGCATGGTGGCCTGCAGGGTCTCCAATGGTTTGTGCGGGCAGGGCACCGAGATGTGCCCAGCCTTGCAGCGCCCCAGCGGCCGAATGGCAGAGCTCCGGAGCCGCCCCTGGCCGCCGCGCAAGGTGCCGGCCCTGGGGATGTAGCAGCCGCTATCACCTTGGAAGGCCCCAACCCAGCGGAGAGCGTAACAGGTTGATGATGGTTGATGCGACCTCCCAGGCTTCACCAGTTTAACAGTTGAACGCCAACTCTACTGTAAGGCCAGTAAGGAAAATAAGGGTAAGGAAAACTCCGGATCCTGGATCAAGCCATGGCGACCAAATGCCGACATTCTGACTTCCATTTTTCCTACAAGTACCTCCACAGTCCCCAAAAGCTGGCAGATCCAGGCTCCCACTAAGCAAAGTCCCAAGACCCGGGAGCGCTGGCACACAGTAGCGTTGGGCAAACACACTGGGGCCATTCCCCCTGACGTACGTGGCCAAATCCAGGACCATCTCCGGATTCTTGCGGGTACAAAGCATCAAGTCCTGCAAGCCATGGGTCCAGATATGTCCAGATTCCAGATGTGCCAAAATTGGGGTAGCAATCAATGGGCCCACAAAACTGCGTTCTTTCTGCAAGAAACTCTTGGAATTGACAAGAAATGGATGGTCAAGGGCTAGGACTATGGAACAAGAACAAACCAAGTGTCCAAACGATGTATGTTGCACACTTGACTGAATTTCGAGACGGACATCCAGCCCGGTGATTAAAAATATGAATTCAGCTCAACATCTAGCGATCTTTCATCCTTCATGCTCCTTCTTGACACCTTAGTGTCAAACGATGGCCTAGTAGTGGCCTAGTCTCATGCAATTACTGCAATCCAACTTATGGGATACGGATGGATACGGAATGCAATTCAGTCCTCACGGGCAAGCTTTATCTCAAAGGAATCCAAGCTGGCATCCACCGAGTAGCGGCCGAAACAGGCATTCCATCCTCCAGGGAAAAGCAGACGGGTTGGACACCAGCTACTGTTGATATGGTCAAAATGATTCTCTAACTGGCTTCTACCGTCTCAAACTCAAACGGCCTGAAAAATCAATCCGCTGATACTGGTTCTCAGGACCCCTTTGGGTTCATCCAGAAATAAGTCATCCCCAAATTCCATGCTTTATGAGTTTCCCATTCAAAATTGCCACCACGCTCCAACATCCAGCAACTATGCTCCCTAACCTCCCCACCATTTGACTCCTCGTTGCCGCAGCTGGGCATCCACCAACCACCGCAAGGTGCTGCTCCAGGCAGCCTCCGAGGGCACGCCCACCATGACGTCCACGTCGTGGTCCACGACGTCCCGCCGGGGGTGGCCCGGTGACGGCGCCAGCACCCCGCTACACGCGCCGTGGCGCAGCAGGGCGATCAACGTGCCACGGCAGGGCCACCATTCCAGGCCCAGGGAGGACATGATGGCGGCCACATCCTCCAAGGCCTGGTGGGGAAGGGGATTGTGTTGGTGGGGAAATGTGCTTTTCCCATTAAAAAAATGGGAGTGTTCTGTGTGGAGTTTATCTTCAACCCCAAGGACGGGCGGGTTTTTGGGGAGTGGATATGGAGTGATTGTGATTTAGCGCTGCGGTGACAGGAAGTAATTATGTTAATCAAATTTTGGCATGCGTTTTTAATATCCAAAGTGATCTGAAATGCAGGGGCTCTTGATGGTTCTCCAAGGCTTTTTATGCCAGTTCCGCGAAAGTTTTGGTCTGTTGCAGCTCTTCGGGTACCCTCCTCCCAGCCTGCACATGTGCTTCATCAGTGATCTGCGGACCACTGGACGAGGCGGGGCTCATCAAATCCTGAGCCGCACGGACCTTTTCCTTGATGAAGTCGACCATCGAAAGTAGCCTTTGTTCGGATCCAACCACTTAGAAACATCCTTGGCATGGGTGAAACCACGTCAAAAATGCCATGGTGTTCAATAATTCACGAATACCTTGAAGACATCATAAATGCCTGTGGATTGGTATACAATAGATTTCTTCAAGTCCGCAAGTTTCTGCCACCGAAGTGCAAATCCCAAGCACTGCTCAAGGGCCAGAAGTCATCGCTGATCACTTGCAAGCGATTGCCCGCATCCACCATTGCACGCTCGTAGCGAGAGATGCGATGGAAGAGCTGTTCATGCTCCCAATTGGTTCCTTGACCCAGAGGATTGCGGGACCCCATCCAGCATCATCATGGCAGTAAGAACTCCCCAATAAAACCTATAAAAACCTCTAGAAATAGCTAAGAATGATTAAGAATGCTAAGATCATCAGGGAACTTCCGTTTCCAGGGTAGATGGCCAGAGGGTAAATCCCACCCGATAAAAAAGTCAGTATGGGTCACCACCATTTCTCTTGGTCAAATCACCATTTGAACATCCCCAAAGAGAAAAACCACCCCCCACCCTTAGACATCACTTGAAAATGATATCTGGTCCCACTACGAAATCCCCTTCGGCAATCAAACGTGGCAATGGAAAATCCACAATTCAATGATTTACTCAGTCAGCTAATCCCTTCTTCCTATTAGTAAAACTCCCCCAAATAAGAAAAATAGGATTGGTGTGGCATTTCCGGTTTTTTTTTGGTTGGGCACACTTGGACTCTTAATTGTGGTAGGAGAACAGGATGGCAAAACAATGGGTTCAACCCCCTCTTAATAAAAATAGATTGCCACCTGGAGGCTTTTTATTAGGGTCCCATCTCATAAGTTTTAGTTTTATATATATATATATTTATTTATTTATATGTTATTAATTATGGTGTTTCATTAGAATATTAAGGGAAAGCTTCGGAATCCAGTTTTTGGCAATATTTTATATATAGATTTTAATGACGGATTTCATCAAATTTGAACTCGAATTGTTTGTCTTTATTATTAGGGCTTTTCATTGGAATATTAGGGGCACCCTAATACAAAATACCCCCTAATAAAAATAGATCACCATGTTTACCATTGGGGGGGTAGGGGGGGTGTTTTAGTTATAGGGAGAGAGGATGAAAAAAACCTTCATTTAGTGCGGGGAACTCCCAGCCAGCCACGTTTGATTACCAAATGGTTATCATACATAGATATCCATTTAAATTCCATTAAAATCAAACTATATATATAAATCCATATAAATCCCATTCAATCCCGTTTAAGCGAAATTTAGATCCATTTACATCCCATTTATATCCCATTCAAAAAACATCTCATTTAAGTCCCATCTAAATCCAAGGAATTCCCATCCAAATCCAGGCCACGGATGGCATCCAACCGGTGCATCTCCGTCAGCATCAGCAGGGCCGAGGACACCAAGACAGCTGCTGGGCATTGGCTCAGCAACTCGGAGGCCAACGGCCAGGTCTCCTGCCATGGATTCCATGGCCGAAAAAAGCAGGGCTTCCAGCTATGGAACTCCTGGAAAATTCTGGAACTGTGGAAAATGTCTGGAACATAAAATCATTGCTGAGTCTCACTTAAATGGTGACCTTAGGTGGAAAAATGAGGAATGACAGGAAGCTGAAAAGCGATGCCAATTCAGATTCCAACGGAAATGCTCACGGGCCGAAAATGGCCCATCAATGATCCGGAAGGGGTGTTTTCTCTGGGAGCACGCATGCGACAGCTTTCCAAAAATATATAAAAAATATCGTCCTTGATGAGAGCACGCAGTTTAGTCTCGTCATGAGCTCTACCTGATGGGCGGGTTGGATTGCACCGACTACAAGCGGGAAAAAAGAGAGGCAAATGGATAAAACATGACAAAATTGAGTGTGTGAATTTGTATGACCATGACACTGGTGCCAGTCATGTTGCATTTCCAACCGTGTCATCAAGAAGCGGCTATTCAAAACCACAATCATCGACAAACACCTGCCGATGCAACCTGACAGCCTGACAGTAAACGCACATTTGCATACATTTGCTGCATCACTCGCGTCCATTAAAAGGTATCTACATCTCAGCATTGGAGCCGATTTAGAGGAAGAACCCCAATCCCAAAGGCCTTGGAAATGTCGTTTGGAGAGCACCTTCCCAACAGCGCAGCCGGTGGGGAATTGGACATGCGGCACGTGCGAAGCCGCGAGGCTTCGCAAACCGCCAACACAGGTTCAACAAATGTTGCAGATTTAGTGCACGCGCATAAGCTTAAATACAAATATCTGTGATAAATATATATATATATAGATATAGATCTACACACACATAAATATATATATATTATAGTATGCCATAGATTCTCCTGGGAGCCCAGTCAAGTGGCCACCTCTACCAAAAAGGAATGAATATGCATCCCTATCTTTCAACCATCTCTCCATATTCATTTCATTTTAAAACCATATTCCTATACAATGATATAGATATTGCATCAAGCTAGATAGATACATAGCAATACATAGCAACCCTCCAAGTTGAGATGAGCAAAATCCAATCCAGCCTTATCCAGCCACCACCATTCAGTGGATTTCTTCAACAGAACAGCCTCTTCAACAGCCAGTTATGTGATTCTCCCATGGATTCCCCCATGGATCGCCTGCAATGCTGTGAAGTTCACCCCATAGGCTGCCTCTGCAGCCACACACTCGGCGGAGAGCTGGGCGCACCAAGCGCGGTGAGTTAAGGCCCAGACCTTGTCGGGATGGATGGGAATGGGGATGGGGGGATGAAATTTCAGCCCCAAATCGGCCACTTTATAAGTTAGAACAGTTATAACTGGAATGGATCCATGGATGGATCTGGGTAAATCATAAGGATTCCGACAATGGAAATGAACCGTTTTCGGGAGTCTTCCCTTGGGAGCCATCACCCATTGAAGGACGGGGATGGATGGTGGATGGGGATGTAGACCCCAAGAATTTAGGAAGTCTTCAGGGATTCTGTGGACAGCTTGCGGGAAAGAAGGTGTCTTTCAGGAGAGAAAAGGAATGCAAACCGAGGACCCCATGGATAATCGTTCAGACATAAACACTGGAGGGTGGGATCACCCCATTGGCCGAGAATGTCATGTCATGTCCAACGCTTACTGTACATATCTCCTCCGAGATTCCACCAGCCGCCACATCTGCCACGGCCATATGGGCAGCTTGCTTGGCTGTGGGGCACGCGCGCTCTCCAGTCATGGCAAAGTTCATCTGCTGAAAGCACTTGGAAATACAGTAGTTGGATGTAGTTGGAACGGAATGCAGAAAGTGTTGCAAGCTTGTTGGCGTGGTGAGGGGTATGTTGTTCCGGTGATGGGTATCGAAAAAAGGTCCGTGAGTGGTCACAAGGAATCTTAAGTTGGAATTCTAGGGGAAACCCTTCACTAGATTGTAGTGTATTCCAGACTCTTTGAACAGCTGGAGCATGCAACGATCTAAAAATACTCTACAGTGCCATGCACTGCAAAGGGATATCCTCACACCATGAAGTTCCTCAACTGGTCCCATCTTTCGCGTTTTTTTCGATCTTTTTGCCACACGGGCAACCAGCACCGCTCAGTGGGGCATGCGGCAGCTGCTGAAATATGGCGCCATGGACATATAGCCCTGCGCGTCCAGCTCTGCAGCCCGCTGCTGCAAGACCTCCACATCCTCCGGCTGCAAGGATTGCCTGGGTCATCAGGGGATACCACCAAAATTGAAAGTCGGACAAATCTGAAGGGCCAAAAAGAAAGTATTTAAAGCATTTTGAAGCAACTCCATTGTTTGGGGTGGATGGGAAAAATTGATAGAATAGAAATGGCATGGTCCGTTCAAAAAATCATGTAAAAACATGTAAAAACATCTCTGCCCTTGGCTGCCCGATCCATTGCTCATCATCGGTGTATCCCCTCAGCTGTCGCTGCGCCACGTCCGGCAGCGCCAGGCAGTGCTCGGTGAAGTTCGCGCCGGGCATCACCACACGCAGCACGTCCAGCGGCTTCCGCGGGCAGGGCACCGAGAGGTGTCCCGCCTTGCAGCGGCCCAGGGGATAGATGGAGCTCTTGCGGATGAAACCTGGGGTGGAAACATGCTGAAACAACAAAGTCCAAACCTCTGGAGCCGCTTGGCCCAAAAATGTTCGAGAGGATCAAAAATGCGATAATCAATGGGGATGTTGTTGATCCCGCTCTTATCAAGCTGCCCATCGGTGGCAAATTGACCAAAAAAAAATGGAAAGCATCAACCAGAAGCCATGAAACCTTTACCAGCGCGGAAGGTTCCCACATGTGGGGTGTAACATCCCACATGATCGCAGAACCTCTGGGCATAGACCACCTGACGGTCTCCAATGATGTAGCTACCCATGTCCAGCGTGATCGCAGGATTCTCCCTGGCCAACTAAATGTGGGAGAAGCCCCCATGAGCATTGATTGATAGATGAATTCTACGTGATTGTTTCCATCTAAAAAATGCATTTCCATTCATTTCCCAACCTGCCATTGTTGACTAAAACCTGACAGGCCCTCAGGCGGCCCTGAGGCCGGCATTGGATATGTGTATAATTAAAATGTATGTTATATTTATATACATATATACATATATACATATATGCATATATACATATATACATATATATATGTATATATATACATGTATGTATGTATGTATGTATGCATGCATGTTTGTATGCATGTATGCATGTATGTATGTATGCATGTATGCATGTATGCATGTATGCATGTATGCATGCATGCATGCATGTATGTATGTACGTACGTACGTATGTATGTATTTTTATATAGATATACATATATATATATAACAGTTATTCAATGTCTGCCCACCCTCCAATGTCAAAGGAATTGTCGAGGCTGCCGTGTCCTTTTTGCATTGTGTCAGCCACTGCGTGATCTTTCAAGTGCATCAGCCTGAATTCCACCATTTGGATCGAACCATTTTGCAGCATCTCTCTGCATGAAAGCTGCCAGGTTCTTTCCCTCCTTGACTTTGTCGCGGGCTTTCATGACTCCGGTGCACTTGATACAACGTGTTTGGTTGAAGACCAAGGCTACTGACATAGTGACCTTGTCCGGATTTTTGGTGAAGTTCCATCCGCAGGCCGTACTCCAACTCGCAAGCGAAATCTGCCATCTGGCTTTGGTCACCTGGTGCCACGTTTTCTTGCCCTTCTTCTTGTCCACCGCCGCAACCCACAATTTTTGTTGTGGATTTTCTTCCAGTTCCTCTTTGAAGTGTTGAGGTACTTCAACTTGCTGTGGACGTGCTTGCGGAGCTGGTGTTCTTGGGATTTGGATCATTGGAGTGCCCGGAGCAAGAATCGGTGTCTATGGTGACTTCTTGGTCTCAACGTCCCATGGTTCTGCTCTTCCTTGCGTCCCTCTGTTTGCTGGCATGTCCTGCATCAACACTACGGAGCCACCCCAAGAAAGCAAGTTCTTGTATCTGGGAGTCCCTGTCTCACATGCTCCATGGCTCCGCTTCTCCTTGCTGAATGCCCTGTCACTGGGGGCCCCGTAGCACTTCTCCAGTTTTCTATCATTTTCGCTTTTGACAGCTGGTTCTTCAACTTGTCCACGAAAATGAGGCCCTTCCGTGCCTTCTTTCTGGTGTTTTCAGTCTCTATTCTTTCCCATACCTTCCAAGCACAAAACCGCATGCATGGATCTTGTCCGCAGCACTTCAAGGTTCTCTTGACTCCACGTGCTCCTTGATCCATCTTTGAAATTTGAAACAGGGATATACAGTGACACCCTCCTACCTTGGGCATCTGTTTGGACACGTTCCCACCTGCATGCGTTTGCCTCGATCTCACGCAGCATCCATAGGCAGGCCCAGACATAGGTCAGAGCTGGGTTGACGCCGCTCTCAAACTCGGACCCAAGTCGTTACTCTCCTCCTTGGTGTCCTTGACCTTGAACTCCATTGCCTTCTTCGTGGGTCCCTTGTTGCTCGTCATGGCTTTCCTGCATAGTCCCATCACCCTCGTCAACCATGGAGGCATGTTGAAGCCATTCTCCACATGCATCAGCTTCAGCCCGTTCAGGTATTGATCGCCAGATTTCATTCCAGCGCTCTTCAAGCACGCTGCCACTCCTTCAACTACGTGCTGCTTCAACGGAAACAGATCCAGGTCGCTGCCGTTGACTCCCTTGGCAAGTTTAAGCACCTCTGATCTCTTAACACCTCTTGCAGCTTTTGAAGGCGCTGCCCAAAAGTTGCCCTTCAACTTCTCCACGGCCTCTCCTAGAGTTTCCCTGCATGCCGCCACCTGCATTGCTCTGCCCATGCCCGTCCGAGCTTCTTCACCTTGTGCAAGTCTTTCTTCCGACTTCAGCGTTCTTTTCTCCTGATCCTTCTCCTTTGCACATTTTGGTTTGACGAGCGACATGTCCTTCATCTTGTTCACCGAAAAAGCCGTGACTCCTATGCCCATGCACTTGCCCTGAGGTCTCTGCACATAGTCTTCTTTTGTCCACATGCTCCACCGCTGGCAATGCTCGCGTCACCATGTCTTGTAGAAGGGCGTTTTGTCCTCCCGGCTTGAAAGTGGAGTAAACTACCCTGGGCTCTGGCATCGTTGGCCGTTGATTTCGATGACGTACTCGCTAGACCAACCCCACATGAGTGGCTTCTACTGCTGAAAGTCCTTGCCCTGCAGCTTGTGCTTGACCCAAGCCTTGGACAATGACATGGGGAGGTAGCGCAGCAAGTACTCGTAGTTCTGTGCCGGGATTCCCGACTTGTTCCAGGAATGCCTCCCATAATGTCGGAGGAACCCGTAGCAATCTCAACACCTCGGCAATCGATCCCAGAGGCCGTACATCACCTTCAGGCGGAAGCACGACCATGCCGATCGCGAGTGGCTCAAAGCCTTTGAAAAGTCACCCTTATTTTGGGCCAGTCTGCGTTTTGCCCACCCTCCACCCTTGCATGCACTCATTCATATGTTTATCACAACATTCTGTTGTTGTCAATATATGTGCATGTATGCATGTATGTATGTATGTATGTATGTATGCATGCATGCATGCATGCATGCATGCATCTATGGATCTATGTATCTATGTACCTATGTACCTATGTATCTATGTATCTATGTACCTATGTACCTATGTATTTATGTATCTATCTATCTATCTATCTATCTATCTATGTATCTATCTATCTATCTATCTATGTATCTATCTATCTATCGATCTATGTATGTATGTATCTATCTATCTATCGATCTATGTATGTATGTATGTATGTATGTATGTAGGGTCAAGGCTGGGGGTTCCCCGGAGCTTCCAGGAACCCTCAGTTTTGCCATGTACTATAAACGTCGTTATGGTATAGAGGGGGGGGTGGGGGTGGGGGGGGTGTAACGTCATGTGGACTGCGTTGGATTGAGACCTGTTGAAACCTTGAGGATGTTGCTTCGTTGAAGATGTTGTTACGTTGCAAGTATCGTTGTTGTTTACAGAAGGGGGGGTGGGGGGGGTGTAATAACGTCATGTGGACGTGAAGATGAAAAAGGTGTGATGTTCATTTCGTCCATGGTTCTCCAGTGAATTATGACATTTCTAGTTGTCAACAAAACGACCAAAAATGCATGAAAACGCAATTCCAATGGTTTCGATGTTGCACACATGTTTGGCCATCCATGGAAGATGTGAACTTATCATTTTTCTGCGCGGACAAACGTCAAGTTTATCCGCGCCGACATTGCAAGTTTTACTGATCGAACAATTTGAGAGAAGAGCATAAAACACTGCAAAACACGGTATACAATCAACATTTTCCATATCCATACAAACAAAATGCAATTGGCTTCCCGGGAACCCCCAGCCTTTACCCTGCATGTATGTATGTATGTA